GAAAACGGCTCCCACGTATAATGACAAACGCAAATCCTTCCAGTTAGGCGCAGCATACCCTTCTCCTGCAAACGTAAATAGCCATAACAGAGGCTACAAATCTAACGACCAAGACTATTTTGCAGGTAACTCCCCAATCAATTTCAATAGCTCATTTGATACATATCCCACTAAGTCTAGCTATCAAAATACCGAGCTAATGAAAAACACTCAATCCCTCACTTCAAAGTTCACACTAATTAAGCATTCGAATTCAACGTAATGGTTTTTGACATAGTATAATATTTGAAAGTATTTGAATTATCGTATGAACTGGGAATCTCAGAATAAACGCAATTGAATCAAGAAGTATGATACAAACACAAACGAATGTATTGTATTTGGAATTCGAAATCGAGCATTGAACATGTACAAAGGTATTACTAGTTCGTTCAAACACCACACATAGTCGACTACATTCTTCTTAGATCAATAAATCATATACAATCATCTGTCAGCTAACACATGATCAAAAGGTTACGAACCGTTGTTCAGCACATCTGACACATTCCTCATGTCTAATGTTTTCACCACCACGATGTATGCTGCCAGACGTAAGCTCACGTGGTTTCAGCACCTAATATTACCATTACTAATACTGTTACCACTAATTCCGCTAATATCATTAACTCTAGGACCATGATCAACACTACTTCAGCATTATCGGTCCACTACATCGGTCCCATTCACCAAATTCGGTCACCAGAATATTAGAACTGGATGGTTTTATCGTCAGTCTGATATTGAATAAATTGACGTTTCATTCTGTCTACCTCATTCTTCTTCCAAGTACGTCAAAACAGAAAAGATCGGTAATCAAAATGTGATCCATATACTGTTTCACTGAAATTTACATTCACCAAAGTGCATAACTACTGCCGGCTTTTTAGGTTGATGGAATCTTCAGTCATTCGTGAATACAAACCACTTATAAGTAAAAACGCAATTTGTCATACTCTTGATTTTGCCCTGACTATCCTTCAGTCATTTTATGGACTAGAGTAATGCCAAAATGTCATGCCTTTTTGTACGATGTTGATTTTCTCTCTCACTACCTTATATAAAATTGTACTCCGTTTACCTGAACCTTCATTTAATCGATTTCCATAGATTACTAAATATGATCCGGCTTCTTGCGGTGCACTACAAGTGAAGATACTTTGTAAGCAAGTTCTATGTTTATAATGAATAATTAATGTCCTACCATTAGTTGACCTTGACAACTAATGTGTATTTGGAATGTGTGTGATATAAATAGAAGCAATACGGGGTCTTGTTTATGCTAATTTACGTTGCTCATTTTCAATCAATAGATCAATCTGCCCTATCAAGTTGATGTCACAGATCTGAGGTTGAATTCAGAATTGGTCATTTCTGAAAATGTTTAGCGCTGCTCATAGTCATATGTGACATGATCTGTAGTATATCGGTCAATGTCATTCCTAATATCATCTCATTCTCGTTGTTCTTCCATCTACACCGACACATCCCTACCGTTGTTCGTAGAATAATGTCAATTGACTCAAGGCTGGTAATAATCTAATGAGGAAACATTTCAGTTCTACTGTCGTCACCTTTTCCTTCATCTGTATATATTTCTAGTTTATATGTGAATATAAATGTCACGATGTTTTGATGCTTGTGTAGTTGTATCCAGTTTCCCAATAGGGTCTTTAAATCCAGTGTTATTGACAACTACGGCGAGTGCATATAATGATGATTTCGTCAGTTGTTATGCACTTTGGTGAATGTAAATTTCAATGAAACAGTATATGGATCACATTTTGATTACCGATCTTTTCTGTTTTGACGTACTTGGAAGAAGAATGAGGTAGACATATTGAAACTTCTATTTATTAAATGACACATTTTCGTTGGTGAAATCAAACAGTTTCATATAACTGACAACATGAAACAGTGGCTCCGTTTTTCTCGTCATATTACAAATGACGTCCTTCTCTTCTATTATGGTGTTAATCAATTAACTTTGTCAGTTAGGATTTGAATGAAGCATACTAAAACTATGAATGTGATTATCATCGCTATTACATAACTCAATTCATATAGAAGTTTTCGGTCATCCACCATGGACCGATTATGAAAACACTCAAGCATGTAAATCACCAACATACATACAATTGTTCACGACACTACTCTCCCATATTTTAGGTACTACAATTGTCAAACCTATCATCATACCGAACTACAAACTCATTAGGTCTCCAACGAAGACAACTGGACTAAATTAACATATCTTCAACACGATCAGAAGTATTTCAATTCGGACTGTGTTGAAAATATTTGGCTTCATTCCTTCGTGATCTTTGAACAACTATAACTACTACAAATTCCTCTCTTACTTTTAATTCTACGACCTCGTTTCTCTCTGAGTCATGATTTTATATACATTCATGCTTTAGATTAAGATAATTCAAGACTTTCTTGTTTGCGTCAAATCGCGAACAAATAAGGATAATTTACTTTTGCACACATGTGGAATAGAATCTTATTCGAATTTATTTATTTATTCAAGTGATATAAAACTAATGAATGTGATTATAATTACAGTGTTGACTTTCTCACAATTCACTTATTGCAAGCGGAATATCAACATGTCTTTTTCAGTAGTAGAAATATATAATGGAGTAATTAGTGATTTCAAATAATTTTTTCTCTACTCATAAATCCGTTAACTTACATCCGGTTCTAGTATTTGCGTGAGCGAATTCGGTGAATAAGACCCATGTAGTGGACCGATAAAATTGAAGTACTGTAGGTCATAGTACCAGAAGTGGTGATGTTAGCAGAATTAGTGGTAACAGTATTAGTAATAGCAATATAAGGCGCTCAAACCGCGTGAACTCACGTCTGATAACATACATTATGGCGGTGAAATCTGTCAGATGTGCTGAATAAGAGACCATTAACTTTTGATTGTGTGTTAACTGACAAACGATTGTATATCATTTATTGAGTTAGGAAGAATGTAGCCAACTATGTCAAATACCATTACGTTGAATTTGAATGATGAAGTAGTGTGAAATTTAGAAATAGCTTAATATCAGATTTCATTCTTATCCGCAGGTTTTTAGATATAAAACACGATTTCCAATAGCATGTAGGTTAAGTGAGAGTATCAAATTGAATTGATTACCTGAATTACTGAACTTAAGAACACTATTGGTTCTCTGATTTCCAGTAATAAGTTGACCCATTCTGCTATTCTAAATGACAATTACTTCCATTCATAACAGTTCATAGGCATTGTTTAAAGACAATGAAGTTTAACAATAATTCGAACGAAATTATAGCTACGAATGTGTATATTAATATACACTGGACACCGTGATATTCATCAATTTTGCGCTCGTCACGTCTTCCTTTTTCAAATAAGTGGACAAAAGCTGTTAAGATTGAGATATACTCTAATCGATGTTTTATTGCAATACGATTTTCTTAGTGGCTCGACATCTGATGTTCGATAGATTACAGCATCTGAAAATGGAATTTACGTTGTTTTATATATTCCATAGTACCTTCGTGTGCTTCATTAAACAGATTGATTAGTTTCGTAGATTGTTTTATGATTGTTGCAGGCAAGAATTGTGGTATACACTATCAGAAAGAGATCACAAAACTACACAGAAAGAATTTTATGTGAACTGAAACACCAAAGATAAACTAATTATAAAGACGTTAATGATTTCAATAAGTACTTCGAAGATTGAAATGTTATCTTCCTTATCACTATATCCAGGTCGTACTTATTAGGATTTCTTCTTACTCAACTAAGCACACAGTTTGATTCACGCGTTTGGTAATGATCTATTTACTTCTCTCTATATGGTTGTAAACAGTTAAATCAATCTACTACAACAAAACAACAGTGGGTAGCACTTTGCCAATCTTTCGTTTCATCCGAAATCTACTATTTATTGACAGTACGTAGTACGTAACCTCATTTGTTATTTATTCTCGAATCCATCTTTGCAATGCAATCTTTTCCATCATCCTATAGATATCTTTTTTTAAAATTTAACTATATTTATACGAATTCAATTCTGCCTGAATAAGATAGACAATCAAGAAATCACAGACATTTCATCACAAATCAATAACGGTGTGTAAATGGTGAAAAATAATGTGTGGCCAATAACCACAGAAAGGTTCTGTTAGACGACTGCAAACAACGTAGAATCCAGTCATGTTGACAGTCTACCTACTACGCGTATATGTTATGATTTCACTAACAAATGGCTATCTGAATCGTCAAAATCATAACTCAAATGGATCACTCTTTTCTAACATATATGATGTTTGTAGGAGCTTCAATTTATCGTTTCTTCAATAATCGAACTCCAATATTGTTATTAATAATAATATTATTGGTGCACATGTGCGATTTGCAAATAGTACTTTGCACTATCGATTTGCTTCATGGCGCATTCGAATGCAGTAAATTCGCGTCATTGATGTGGAAAAATAGACTGAATATTCTCATGAATGCCGATAGAACAAGCTTCATCAGGTCAGTTGAGAAGAAATTTACATACTTCTCTTCTTCTTTATGTGGATTGTGGTGACATAGTCGTTTAGCACGACAATAAAAGCATCCGTTTTGAAATAAACAACTCGCAAGAATTAATGTTTCACAAAACTATACTTCTGGGTTGCAAATCTTCCTCCTGTAGAAACTGATTTTTGGCCGTGTTACTTTAGACTGTAAAATATACATTACAATTATTGACTAGATCACTATTCTAGAAACAGATAGGATCAATGAACAATCCCTCACACACTGAATGATGCCATTTTTTCTCATGTTCGTTAATAATTAACTCTTGTCTTAATCGTCAGTTTTGCATGTATGTGCTTGATAACACTTCAATTTTCTCAGTACATAATAAATATTAATAGCAATCAACAACTAATCGGCAGGTAACTGAAAACAATTATGCGTGCACAGAAATAATATTTGCATTTTATTGTGTAATCATCATGTACAAAATTGTTGAAAAACATGTGATATCTAAATGAAGAATCGATTTGAAGAACACTGAGATATGATTTTGTGCAACATTATACATTTCAACCAACTTACAGTTATCTAAAATTTTACGTTGTAGTTCAAACCACTTCTATCACAATCACTTCTTTGGTTTCCTGTGTGACGTCCGTTGTTTTTGTATCTACTGTTGTTTGTGTTGTAGTAGCGGTAGTTGTTACTGTCTCAGTAATCTCTGTGTTTGTAGAGAGAAGAAACACAATGTTTTGGTTAGTACTATTAATTCCAGATATAGTTTGATCTGAGTAGAAAAAAAAACATAACACTTACCAGTTAAACAAGGACCATACGCACCTGCGTCAACAAACTGAAGCACTGTGATGAATGTCACTGATATTATGATAAATATTTCGGCACGCATTATTTTCAAACTGCTTCTGTGCATACCACCTGGAGGCATTATTGATTGTCTTTAGTGTTTACCACAAACGTTTAAATCAACCACCGCATTACATTTTATATACACAAACTATTCATAATACACCAAAATTTTCAAACATTTAGACACAAACATACGTTTGTTATTGGTCAAAGATTATTCAGTGAATACACTATGTGTCAGCCATCACAGTTTACGTAGTGATTGACTAATATTACAGTTAGCACACATTTGATTTCATTAGATGTAATTAGTACACCGACAAGTGGAATAATCAGACGTTTCTGAATAGTGATTTCTTACGCAAGAGTGGAACTTGATTTTTATTAAATTGTTATTTAGAATCGTCATTAGTTCATGAGTTACAATTCTGGTTGCTTGTTACTCATGCTTAGTAAATCGAGGAAACGTTGCAATTCTCATGACGTGAATTAAAAACACACAGAATGATACGAGCGAAGGATTTTACCCTTAAAAACAACGATATTAGTCGAAAGTGCACTCATTATATGTTGTTTGTACACCCACTTTTATTACTAATCAGAATAAAACCACATTTACTAAAATTAATTAGCGTCTCATGATGAGCAAAGTTTACGTTGGTTTGATACAAGAATATCGTATCTTCAACACAATCACACTCAAATAGTTCAATTTCATAGCGGAACACAACACCAACCACGACAAGCGCGAGACATGAAATCCAATAAATTACTGAGTTCGGCCAACAACTGACTTCTTCAACACGGGTGTTCATGAACACGTGTTCTGGGTTTCACTACACACCACTATCAGATTTTTCAGAAATCCTTGTGAATATTGACGATATTGAGGCAATTCAATCAGAATGCACTTATATCACACACGGGTGACCGATTGATCGCCGTCATCAATATCAACAATATAGGGAATACAAACACTCACAAAGAATGATGATAATTTGTTCGCGATTCTTTGAGTGTTTACACTACTGGAACAAATAAGATGACAGCACCCGTAAGACTGAAATATTTACATCGAGTGATCACATCGTACTATTATACTTACTGTACTTTCAATTCTTAGAGTTGTCGAATTCTATCGATCAACTGAAGTCGGGCTCATTAACTCAGGTGACTCAATAGTGACGGTGCGATTTATACTTCACTTGGTTACAACTTATATTCTCCCCGGTAATCTCACGAGCATCACTCACTGTCAATTATCTTGTAAAGATTTGTTTAGCGGAAGACATCTTGCAGCACCACATCACCTATAACTGCGGCACATAGTTGGTTTCAACAACTTATAACCACCATATCTCATTTAAATCGTAGTCCGCCCTACAACTAACCTGTATGCACCATCAACCGGTAGATTTGAATAGAAATAAATAGTCTGTAGCGAATCACAACATTGAGTCTAGAGCATATATCTCACGGATATACTTATGTTTAACGAACTGCTCTTAGCTAGCTGTGCAAAATACACACAATCATCACATTTCACATATTGATAACCGTTCATATGTATTATTAGTATTACTAAATTATATCACGGTTAAGTAAAAAGGAGGTCCAGAAAATCTCCCCGTAGCTGGATAAACCGTATCAAACTGAATGGAACACTAGTAGGAATTCTTCTTCAAGGTAATAATTTTGTTCTTTCAGTTAGCCTACTAATGCAGATGCAACTGGAAATCAACTTATATAAGCAGCGAACCGACATAAACGTTATCTGACTTTACAATCTCAATCAAAACTAGTACCAATATTAAAATTTCCAGAAAGTTGATTGCTTTTAATATTTCTTTACGTGAAATACTGTTAACCTACAGCCATTGCTACGGATCTTATGGCGATTTATTGAAATATCTATACACTAAATCATTCTTAATTATTAAAGTCCCACTTTGTTCAACTCCTTTACAATCTTCACATAGACATCTATTTATTTGATGTGTTAAGAATAAAACTAAACATTTTAAAATTAATCATACGGCCTGTAACTGAAGCCACCAACTCAATGTTAGTACTATCCATTTTATTGTGACTTGTTAAAATATCACTATACTAAATCGTTCTTTATTTTAATAATCCTGCCATTCCTGACGTATAAATAATATTCATGTAGGTTTTTAATTTTAAGCGTGTTAAGCATTATAACAGACATTTTAAAATTATTACATGTATTTCTCAATCACCTGTTACCGCCTTGTTTTATTAATCTATCAGCTTACCAATACACGGAGGATTCTTATTATTCTTGGTAACCTCCGGCGCGCATCAATTCCTTCCAATTTGGTATCGAACCGACGTCACGTTGATTCTGGTGGGAGAGTAGTGTAGTGGCATTGGGCACACAATACACTTCTATCAAAGCTGAACACAAGATAATTAGGGAAATAGGTATTCAGCATCTAACGCGGAAAAGAACCCAACAATGGATAAAGCGTGAACAATGAATTGAATTAGATCGAAATGATCGGATGGCATGGCTCGGCTTGCAAGTGCAGTCAAACTTACGCAAACCTATCTTTGTCCATATCGAAAAAGTACTGTTCTATCTCCAGCCTAGGCTTGTTCTTCATCATGCATTGGTGATTGTTACGTTGCAATGAGTTGGTGTAGACGATAATGTGACTTCCACATAAGATCTCATGGATTAGGCCGTTCTGTCATAATAACTCTACAATTTTAGGATTAGTTTTTATTAAATGAGCATTAACAACGAAGTAGACCGTAATTATACAACTCCATACCATGTGAATATTTTCGACATCGTTTCGATTTTTTTAATCATATTATTGTAGCAATCGGATGGAAGCTAATTTGGTTTCGTCAGTTGAACAACATCAAACGTTAATAATGTCATCAGCATGTTATAATAATGGAAAGCTATTGAAGTTAAATAACTACTTATTTAGATGATTTGCAATTATTCGAGATGTCGATGTGCAATTCATTTCATGGTTTTGATGACTGACTTATATAGTTATTGTTAGCATAAATGAATTCGATGACCGTCAATTAATCCCGATAGTTTATGATGGGTATTCTTTTCTGATGCATGATTATTGCACATCATCCAATCAATTTCAACCCAGCATTTCTTCGCTTTGACTGTAATTTCCTTAGCATTTACAAGCTACAGGAATTACCGTTAAAGTGAATGTTGACCAGAAATTATTGATCTGTGATGCTTCAGATAATGTTTTAATAATTACACACAAGCAGTTAATACGTTGAAAACAACTGACATGAATGTTCAATGTCTCTTCTATTATAACATGAATTATTGTGTGATCGCGAAGTGAATTCATATCGGTTCGCTTTAAATAATTTCAAAGAAGTGAGATGCCGAATTCATAGTTAACGAATAGACATTTCTATGAAGATGCTGTGTAACATTTTTGTGACCAAACATTAATGAGTCGGCTTACGAAAGCCTAGAAAAGGGTAAAATATTAATCACAAGCGAGCCATGCCAAGGGGGTGGGCTTGTTCAGACGGTAAGAGCAGATTATTTAGATAAAAAGAACTCCGACTGAATTTTGGCAACTTTGAATAAATTTTTGTGAGAACAGAGAATTCGTTGACTTTAAAAGAAGTTACATAAGGTGTAATTTACTCCTATCATTCATGTCTCACCCAAACCCTTGAGACTGAACACACCTCAACTTAACTAAGGTCTACAGGTCAACACTTTGCTCAATTTCAGATATGTATAACTCTTTATATCATAAGACTATAGTGTAGTGTGTTCGAATGCTGAGTCATCTACATAAATTAATTGTTATTAGTATATAAAGATGCTTTTAGTTTGTCATCCATGGTGGAACATATAGTGTCTCCTCACCAATACTTAAGTCTGTTCACGTTTAATGTCGTCAAACCCTTCAGCTAGCCTACTTAAGAGATAGTGTTATTCGAAAAGTCAAAATTTGCGTTCAACTGTATTATTTCCGTGTTTGTATGCTTGATTACGTGTTATAGCATGTACACATATTCTTCATGCTAGCATAAATGCTAGTTGCTTAAGTTGTTCAATCGACCATTCGCTTTCCTTTATATATGTTCTTGAATTTTATCAATAAACTAGACTCTCTTTTTTTCTATATATTTGCGCGCTTGCCCTCAGTAGCATTTTTGCGTGACTTTGATTTGTGTGATGTTGAATCTGTGATTTTTGCTTCTCAATGATAAATTGTATTGAACGCAAGATTTTTTCATTCTCAGATTTATACGCCATTGGTAATGATTAAAAAACAGTTATTTAGACTATCGTTATACGATCCTTTTGAAATTTTCTCGGTGATAATCGTTTCAAATAGCAATTTAAATGAAAACGGATGTTGTCACAGACATTACTTTCTTGTTTGCGAAGTGAGACAACTTACACCGTGTAGAGAAACCACTTTAACTACTAATCAATAACCGACTTTCTGACGTTATTCACAATGGGTTACTTTTAAAGTTATCAATGAAGGTTCATTTTCTGTTCACTGACACATATCATAGAAATCTGGGTGAAATAGTAAAATATTTTTGAACTGTCTGACGGAATGAACTTGTCACTATATATTTTAAGATTCAGACAGGATAAGCTAACTAGTTTAACCATGAGGCTGAAAAAGCATCAGTCCGGATCTAGACTAAAGATTTGGGACAGAGATACGATAGAAATTCTGCCATCTAATTGGCTGACATCAGAAAAGGGAAGGTGAGTCAACAGGGAAACTGCTCGAATAACTCATGATCCTTGCACTTTTAATTAGTGTAAAATGATAAATGAATAAATGAATGACTAACATGACTGCTACACACAAACAGTTCGGAAAATACAATTATGTCCAAACTAGGTATTAATGTCGAACACTGAATTACCAAACGTTACACTTAGATTACAATAGTAGTAGGACGAAAAACGAATGTCCTTGAGTAATAAACCGAACAAAAACTTATGATTTATAGAATAAACCAATGATAACACTCAGCGTCAGTATTTCATAGACTTTGAATTATGTGATATAATGTCCTCAAAGTTTAGTTTCGTTGTTT